CCCGACAACTGACTCGTGGACTCAAGGCACACCCATGCCTAGTGGTCGGTCGGGTCACGCTGCGGCTGTGTGCTACCAACACCAGTGTCTGATACCTTGCGAAGGACCTTCGCTGCAGTGCGACCCCCACCCTCTCCCCACACCCAGCACTAGCCGCGGGTCTCCCTCCTAGCAGCACGCTACGCCTCGGCGCACGGCCCGCAACAGGCAGTGAATGGAGGACATCAAACTGCGGCTGTGTGCTACCAACACCAGTGTTGGATACCTTGCGAAGGACCTTCACTGCAGTGTGACCCCCACCCCCTCCCCACACCCAGCACTAGCCGCGGGTCTCCCTCCTAGCAGCACGCTACGCCTCGGCGCATGGCCCGCAACAGGCAGTGAATGGAGGACATCAAACTGCGGCTGTGTGCTACCAACACCAGTGTTGGATACCTTGCGAGGTACCTTCGATCCAGTGCGATCCCCACCCTCTCCCCACACCTAGCTAACCACTAGCTGCTTAGCAGCTAGCAGCACACCAATCCTCAGCGCACAGCCTGCAACAGGTTTAGCATAGGACATCGCGTTGTGTTGAAGTGAGGGTTTCACAAGACTATGGTTGTAATTACATTGCAAAGGAGCAATCGAGTAAATATCACTTCCTAAACAAGCATTCCAGAAAGTTGGATCAATCTGTTTAAGCTGTTTGAGCATTTATTGCACAAGTTATCATTATAATTGATATTTTTTGTAAACATAGTAGGGATTTTTTGAAATTCTCTTTAGAAACAATTTAGTTGGGAACACTTTTTATTCAACAAAACCGACAATTTAATATCAGTCCACAGAGGCCTCACAAGATTTTTAATATTTTCAAGTTTTGTTTAGGGCTAGGTTTTTTGCTCTCATTTGTTGATACCTTAAAGGAAATAGTGATGTGTTGAATCTGAATCTCATGAAAATATTCAGATTGAAGATTTAACTAGGATATTATTTTGTGTTCAACAACGTGAGTGTTAGTTCAAGGCAGTAATCATACATATAGAATCTTAATCCGATGATCAAGTCAACGATTGTTTAAGGAAAATTTTATTTCTTATGGGGGATAAACAATTTAGGGGGTTTTCAATCTAATTAGGTCATGTTACCTTTTAGTTAACAATTCGGCTTAGTGACCATAAAAGGTATCACTATCTATTGTTTTAACTTAAATTTCAATTCAGGAGGCAAAACATATGACTTTTAGGGTTGTTTTAAAATAACTAATTAATTTTACAGTAGATCGTAAAAAAATAATATATTGTATTTTAAGTTGTACTTGGATTTGTGATTTTGGACGTATTTTATTTATTATTCAGATTTGGATTCCAGTTTTGAAATCCCAGAATTTTACTATTTCTAAAAGAAATGTAATTAGGAAAATGCAACATCATTTTTGTGATTAGTGTGTAGGCCTACTTTTCAACATTATATTATTGAGTTACAAATTGAGTATGCTTACCTAGCTCCATTTTGACTAAAATAAAAATAATGTATGCATAGTGTAAGAAATACACATTACTTGTGTAGCCAAAAACGCATTTAAAGCTTTGTGATACTCCTTGTTGTAAGATAGCACAAACCACGTAGGACAACTTCTATATCTAAATCTATCAGGGTTAAGTGTGTAATACTGCAAAAGTTTTATGTGACTGCCTGTACTGATGTGATGCTTGAAAATAGTTCTCAAAGTTGACTACAGAAGACTTTCTTAATCACTGGCTACGTAATGGTTACTCATGCTGTACTTTATTGTAATTAATCATTTTGGTAAAGATTGCAAAATCGGAATTTTTTTCATGCCTCCCTGTGTACTCTACCTAGTTTTCCTGATCTCTTGAATTCTTTCAAGAAAAATTATGATTGTTTTTATGATCACTTCATTCTTTCCAGTCATCATCTCTTTTTAGAATGATTGTCTTGAACTGTTTTCATTTTAACCTTTTCAAACAATAAACTGTTTTTTCCTTATATTTTTTCTAGTTAGATGTACTTTGTTAAAACCAGTAGAAAATAAACATAAAATACTATTACGAAGCAAGATTTTGTTACTGTGCCAAGCTTAAAAATTACATATGATAAAAGTTTCTGAATGTTAACAGCAACAAGTTTTATGCCATGTGTTAGGTGAACGACTTATTTTTTAATGTACGTTTTGATGTTATCTACTGTGCATAAATGTTGACCTTTAAAATATAAGAAAATCTTTCATATTAATGCCATGCCTTAAAATTATCAAAGCCTTTCTTCTAAGAGGACAATTGTATTGTTCTTGTAGATTCATCATAGTAGGTTGTATGTTTATATTCAATGCATTCCCTAACAACTTATAAATGCACTTTGATGTTGTCAATCCGTTTACTGGTGTTTCAGTGGTTAACGACCTTTTCACAATTTTACTGCAAGACTGTATTCTATTACATTATCAAAAGAAAAATGCTCAGCAGCACGGGCCAAAGTTCTTCACTCAAATTTAGTTTTTCATCATACTGTTGGGAAAGCAGCTGTTTTTAGTTCTCAAAACCGTCCGCAAAATCATAGTTTTTGGTAACTTCAAATAGGGAACAGAAAAAACAAATAGTAAATTTTTCGGTTCCCTAACCTAAAAATTTTATCAGTTAATTATGAAAATGCTTGCTTATCACCATAGACATGAATTAATTGATTATAACAATATTTAAAGTTATGTTTGTAAACAACAGCAATTGTAAACATTGATGACAACTTGGAATAGCCTCAAATTATGTGGTCTAATTTAGTAGCTATTAGAAGGATATTTCCACAGTATGATGAAAATAGTTGTTCATCACATGGAGCACAAGGGTCCTTTTTATACTTATTCATATTTCCACAATTGCGTACCAAAAAGAAACACTTTCGCTCCTAGTGATGAAAACTACTATTCTTTTAACTTTCTTGTTGCATTTAGGTTTTTTATTTATCCAAAACGTTGATAATTAGAGGTATTTTTGTACACACTTAAAATAAAATACAATACAGTTTTTGAAGCTGAAATAGTAAAATTTATTCCTACGACACTTAGGGAAAGGAATGTATCTAAGCCTTCCTAAAAATTGATTTGAATTCAAAAAAGTAATAAAGTAATTAAAAAGAAGTCAATTGTTTGTTCAAAACGCCAAATTGATGGATTAATTTGGGGATAAGACACGAGCTTTGGCGAGTACCCTAAAAACTTTTACGAGTGTTGTAAAGGCTAGTTACAAGGAGCTGCTTACTTTACCATACCTATGACCGTTTCACTAATACTATCTGAACATTTCAAAATCTCTCAATAAACTTTCCTGCACCGGTTGGTTAGCAAATCGTTTGGTTCAAAGGTTAAGGAAAGAATGTGTGAGTTTCCGGCAAAAGTCGGCAGATCAACAGTTGAATTGGTCATTACCAGCTGATAAGTTGGCGTTTGAAGCATTACAATTTTACTCCTTTCCTCTCTATTCCTTAACCCCATTAGTCCGTTACTTTACCACACCAGGTCTGTAAAGTAAGGAAACAAAGTGGTGATGTGAGTCTTTTTGATTCTAAAAATTTGAAGGCTAGTTTTAAAAACGGCCGTCGGTAAAAATCTTTACCTCATAGTTAATTGATTGTTGTCTTTCCAACATTTTATGTGGAATAAAAGTCATTCCCATGTTATTGATATTATAGTTATGTATATGTGTATATTTGTTTACATATGTACAGTATTTGTTAAAATAATATTTTCCTCTAAAGTTATATTTGTAATACTGTTTATATGTAAAATTGTGGTTATTATGTACATTGAGATCTATTTATATTTCTTAAATGACCATCTCTTTTATTTGTTTTTGTGATATAAAAATAAGTTATTTTGAACCGTTTGCAGTGTTGTAATTTTCAAAATACCTGATTAATTGTTTTAAAAAAGGTGTGAAATCGATCCAAGGTACAAGTATCACCTTATGATGGAAAATAGGTTTTATGAAATTCAATAAAGAAGAATGAGGCCATCTTTCAATACCATACTTGTAACGAAATTCTGAAACATCAACACCCAGCAATACAGCAATTATTATAAGTATTTTCTCTTATATCATAATATTGAGATTAACTATATTTTATACACCAAGACATTCTTAGAATCATAACACCTAAGTCAGGAAAACTTGTGATGAATGATTATTTTGGTAGATTTTAATGTATAGAATTTTTATTGATACAAATTTTAAAATATATTAGGAAAGAAAATGGATACTAGATGTTCAAATGGATTATCAATTGATCACAAACAGTACCAATGGAACTAGTCCTCACCCTATTACTAACTTAAGTACTTAAACTTAATTTAACTTAACTTACTTACTTAATTTAACTTAATTTTAGTAACTGTAACCTATTTTGATCTTATAAGTAAAATGTAATGATTGGGAACACCCCAAAAATGATGATTTGGAAGTTTTACAGTTTTTAGGCTAAAAGTTTCATAGAACTGTTGTAGAATTTTATTGATTAATAGAGCTAGGTATCTATAAAATTTAATTAAAAACCTATTATTTGTTTTTGATAAACAAATCATACCAGTCGTACACTGATAATTTTATTTAGACAACAAAAATACAAGTAAGTATAGAGAGCATTAAAACAAAATTTTCTACAAAAATTTAGCTTGCAAATATTTATGGCCATAAAACTTGTCTATATTTTTAATGAATAAAAGGCTAAAGATATAGCAAAAAAGGTAATTTTAAATATGATGATAGAAAAACTTTGATTACTTTTTAAAACCGATTTAAATTTTTAACACACTTTTTCTAATTAAAACCCAATGGAAATTTCCTTATGCAGTTCATTTGTGTAAACAACACCATTTATCACCAAACAAGATAAAAACTGGTAAAAACTCAATCTAATTGAGGTCTGCATGTAAAAAGCAACTTAGTTTTTATTGAGACCCGTCCATGATATCTGATTATTGTATTCAGAGCAGAATCAGACTTGTTTGAAGGCAACAAAAGTAGGGTAATGGTGCAACAAGTGCATTTTGTTTTTGCTATATTTAGTGAGAGGTCGTTGCACCCATTGGCAATGTTGATCCGCCATCATTGATTATTTTGTCAGTCAAAATTCTCATCTCAATCAGTCTCCACTTGACACAGTATATTGAACCCATCCCAGGTAAATGTGAATAACACTTTACTTCTTTCGTAAATGATAAGTTTTAATATATTAATTGTTTTAAAATGGTTATTTTAAATTTGTATCAAAATATTTTAAAGTTTATTTTGGTTTTTACAAAATAGAAGATTCAAAAATAATTTTTAGGTTTACCTGTGTAGAATGTTTTTATATTAGTTAGCTAGTACAGTAGCAGCATTTCCAGGAATATTTTTTTAGCAAATTTCCCTTTAAGTAGCTATTACTGTAGGTGACACGGTAAGACCTGGGCCCGGGACCGATTGACTTTTTCATTTTGATGTCCCCAGAGGCTAAAAACACTATTCCTTCAGATTTTTATGTACAGAGGGGTGCAAAAGCAAGTATACAGTACAAAGAGGCAAACAGTTTGTATATACAAGGAAGTGAGAGTTTTTGTGAAGTACAAAATTTTTAAGAGTTAATTAATTTAGGTGTCTTCTTTTCAAATAAATAGGAAAAGTTTGGTTTTCATATGAATTAATATATTTTTTCTATAAAATGTTAAATATTGTTCTATTACATTATTCTTCTAATAAATTACGTTCTATGTTTTGATATTGAAATTTGTTTAGTCTTTAGTAAGTGTTCTGAGTAGTTCGATTTCATACTTGTGGAATTTTTAGATTTTAATACATGTATATGCTCTTGGAATCTACACTGCCACTAAACAAAACAAATTTTGATAAAGAAAATAATAAAATATATTGCAACCAAAAATGGATATCAAGACAATCTTATTGATAATATGATAAAGAACAAAATTAAGAAACAAAATGAAAAAGAAGAGAAATTGAAAAAATAATACATCTGTCTTCCTCATAACTCTAATCACAGAAAACATACTATCTGTGCTTGAAATGAAATAAAGCAATAAGGAAAACCTTATCAAAAACAAATTACAAAGCAAAATACAGAACAAAATACCCCCGCCGCAGCAAACCTGCAGACTAAGCGAATTTCCATTACTGATTATATTTACACTAATATGCCTCCATAAAAATATTCACATTTATTTCAATTATCAATTATCAATTGGTGGGGACTCCACATGTGCGTCCTATTTAAATAGAATTAGTTAAACGAGTATTTAGGTTTGCTGCAACAGGGAGGGTAAAAGTGTTTTTTTTTTTTTTTTTATGTTAATAGTTTAGTAAGAAATTAAAGTATTTTCCAAATTCGATCAAATGTTCATAAACAAGCAAACTACAACAGTTGATTTATTCTTCATAAGAATAACATGGGAATTTTAAATTTACAATTTTTTGGAATTTTCTCCGTAACTATTAGGCGCACAACAACGCTTCAATATACTAAATTATTTGTTTTTTCAAGCTCTACAAAATGGTTTGAAAAGAAATTGTAAAATTTTGTGTTTTTAGGGTCAAAAATGGGAAAAACCTATTTTTACCCCATAAAACCCCATATAAAACCCCGTTCTAATAGTCCGATCATGCTGGTTCGCGAACTCGTTTGAATAAATGTAGGCTTACACGTTTATACCAAATTTCATCAAAATCGGATCATTTTTGCTCGAGTTATCGCGCTAACGGACACATATATAAATATATATATATATATATACTAGCTGACCCGGCGAACTTCGTATCGCCTAAGTTATAGGTTTCCCCTAAGACAGACCGATGGAAAGAAAGTACCGTTACGTTTAATTTTCAAGATGATCTCGTTCGCATCGCTCAATCACGTCCTGGTTGAAGTTCGTTCGCTACGCTCACTCACCTTTGGGTTGGAGCTCGTTCGCTACGCTCACTCACCTTTAGGTTGGAGCTCGTTCGCTGCGCTCACTTGCCTTCAGGTTAGTTCGTTCGCTACGCTAACTCGCCTCCAGGTTGAAGTTCGTTCGCTACGCTCACTCACCTTTGGTTTGGTGCTCGTTCGCTACGCTTTTTTTTTTTTTTTTTTTTTTTTTTAATAGAGGGCCAGGCTTACAAGTTACCATGGGATTGCATCGCAGCTAGAACAGCTTATTGTGCACCCTCGTTCACAGGTCCTCATTCTCCGTCAAATCCCAGGTCCTTGGTGAACCGTGAGAGCCTCTTGACTATGGTGACCTGTTCTTCCCTTTGGTCTCCCATCAATAGGCCAAGGGATCTCATACGCAGACCTTGTAGGGCTGGGCACCTAAATATACCTTCACAGCTTTCACAAGGTCTCTGGCTGGGGCAAGCCGTAGCGAGATTTCCCTGAAAGGACTCAGCTCCTGAACTTGCTTGACCAGCCAATCCTTTGTGGCTGCGTCAGCACAGCCTCCACCTTTCTTCCTGGAGGCCTCATTAGAGTCAGCTTTGGGGGTACCACCCTTGACCTGCTTTTTCCCAGCATCCTAGTTCCCGGAGGAACTGGCTTTACAGGCAGCAGAGTTAGGGTGCTTGGCAGCCCACACCAGCCTCCTCTCACTTCTGGATAGCACCTTTTCGCCTTTGGCTAAAGCATCCGCTATCCTCCGTCTTTGCAACTCACCCCTGGAAAGTCGATTTTCGTACGAGGGATCTCATACGCAGACCTTGTAGGGCTGGGCACATAAATATACCTTCACAGCTTTCACAAGGTCTCTGGCTGGGGCAAGCCGTAGCGAGATTTCCCTGAAAGGTCTCAGCTCCTGAACTTGCTTGACCAGCCAATCCTTTGTGGCTGCGTCAGCACAGCCTCCACCTTTCTTCCTGGAGGCTTCATTAGAGTCAGCTTTGGGGGTACCACCCTTGCTCTGCTTTTTCCCAGCATCCTAGTTCCCGGAGGAACTGGCTTTGCAGGCAGCAGAGTTAGGGTGCTTGGCAGCCCACACCAGCCTCCTCTCACTTCTGGATAGCACCTTTTCGCCTTTGGCTAAAGCATCCGCTATCCTCCATCTTTGCAACTCGCCCCTGGAAAGTCGTTTTTCGTTCCTTTCCGGTTTCTGCGAGCTTGTCGTCATCGTCAGATTTCAGTAGACCTTCCTCCTCCATTTGGGTCAGACTGTCTACATTGTTCTCACGAATACCAGGTATTTAAGTCCACCTCCCCAGTGACCCGATTAGAGAGGTAAGGGGTGTGTACGACTGGGTTACCCCTGGTTCCCAGAAGGCTCCGTTAAGACACTGAATATTAGGCCCCCAGTGCCACAAGACTCTTGGCACGGATCGCATTACACCTTAGTCTAGGGCCCCCCTCACTTGGTTCTGTAGGTGGACCAACACCCAGTGGCAGAAGGTAGCTCTCCGCAGCTAACAAGTGAGAGTTGGGGTTTAGGTTGTGGCCAATCTGCCGAACCAACCCCGCATGCGAGGTTTGGCCGGAACGGCGCGAAATTTTCTCCCACTCACTAAACCCCCATACCTTCCGCTGCGCTCACTTGCCTTCAGGTTAGCTCGTTCGCTACGCTAACTCGCCTCCAGGTTGAAGTTCGTTCGCTACGCTCACTCACCTTTTGGTTGCAAATTAGCTGTTGTCATAAATGTAAAAGAAATAATAGTGCTGCACCCTGTTGGTAATCCTTGTAACTTTAATGCTATTGAACATCATAGAACAGAACCAACTTGTTTAATTGAAACAGCTGTTAAGATTCATTAATTCCATTTCTCATAAGGTTAACATGGGAAACTCCAGAGCCACTGGGGCGGAGTCCTTTTAAGAATTTCGAAACGGGAAATAGTTTACGTCCGATTCGCATACCTACAGAATTTACACACCAAATTTCGTAACGATCGGTGAAGTCGTTCCGGAGGAGTTTGCAGACAAACACTGTGACACGAGAATTTTATATATTAGATATATATATGAATTTGAACGGATGGTGTTTTTGGCCTCTAGGGACCTCAAAACAAAAAAGTAAATTGGTCCCGGGTCCAGGTCTTACCATGAGTACTTATTCCCTATATGGGAAATTCGCTAAAACAAAGTCTTTAAATTATAAATTCAAAAGTTTTCAAAAATCAACAAATAACTGAAGAATCATCATAATGTAACAAGAGCGGCATTTTCAAAATTTCCTGTACAGATTGTAACTAGTATTATATTGGCCAAACTAGTAGAAGCTTCAAATGTAGATTCCAAGAACATATACAGGTATTTAAATCCAAAAATTCAAACTACGCAAGTATGAAATCAACACCATAGGATTAACACCATAGGCCCCATTTAATTTCGCGTTAAACGTGGTTAAACAAAAAACCCAAGTAACATGCATTTGATATGGGAAAATTAGGTTTTTTGTTAATTACACAAAAACTAAAAGAGATACGAAGTAAGTGTAAATTACAAAGTTTTTAAGAATTAAAAAAACCTATAAAATTATGTGCCACTTATGTTGCTATTTAAAAATTTTAAACAATGGGCATTTGCAAATTTTCAAAAATATTTTTTTTTAATTTTTATGATTTTTAAAACCCTTTACTTGTAGCATATCACAGTAAAACTAATTTCATAACGAGTAAGAAAATTCAACCGGAGAAGGCCTAAGTGCATAGGTATAGGAAACAAGAGTAAAAAAACCACATTGATTTTTCCAAATAAACTGGCGCCATTTTTAATCGGATAAAGATAATTAATTTCTGTTTTTGCCAAAATGTTTGTCTATTAAATACCTTTAAAATGATGTATAACATGACATATGTTTACATTTGAAAATTCCGAGATTCAAACTAGTGACCCTCAGTTTTTGGCACACCCTGTATCGGAAAAAAGTTGAAAATATCTTTACCTTATTCCTTTGGGTTGATTTAGTGGGAAATAATTTTATTTCATCCTTGTACGTTAAGCCGTTCTTCAGTAATCAATTTGAGACACCTTTCGTGGGACACCTTGTATATTTGTGTCCGTTAACACAGAAAACATACTACTATAATCCAGAATGCCAACCGCATGGTAAAAAGTGTTAAGTACTTAGAGAGAGCTTTGCCTGTCAATTCGTAGGCAGCGCCATCAGCGTTGCTATTCTCTCAAAGTACTTAACGCTTTTTACCATGCTGTTGGCATTCTGGGTTATATAGTAGTATGTTTTCTGTGCCGTTAGCGCGATAACTCGAGCAAAAATGATCTGATTTTGATGAAATTTGGTACTAACGTGTAACCTATGTTTATTCGAACGAGTTCGCAAACCAGCATAATCGGACCATAGGAACAGGGGTTTATGGGGGAAAAATGAGGTTTTCTTAATTTTGACCCTAAAAACAAAAACAATTGCGATTTCTTTCAAAACTATTTTCTAGAGCTTAAAAAAATAAATAATTTAGTATATTGAAGCACTGTTGTATACCTAAGGATCACAGAGAAAATTCCAAAAAAGTGGAATTTAATATTCCCATGTTATTCTTATGGAGAAAATGGAAACTTTTGTAGTTTACTTGTTTATGGATATATGTTGATAAAATTTGGTAAATTTATTTATTTCATCCTGTACTATTGACGTATGGTTAAAGAACACTTTTTACCTTCACCGTAAAATATGTCTTGTTTATGGAAATATATTAGTAAAAATGTAATCAGACACGTAGAAATTCGCTTAGTCTGCAGGTTTGCTGCGGCGGGGGAATTTGTAGCGTTATTGGTTACAAAGAAAATTCCAAAAATTGCAAATTTAAAATTCTCATGTTATTTTTATAGAGACTATTTTGGTCAAACTTAGCAAATGTATTAATTTTACACTAAGCTACTAATATTTTACTAAAAAACACCTAGGTAATCGTCAAACCTAATGTTATTTAAATAGATTTAATTTACAATCAATTCAGGCAAATGGAAATTCACTTAGGTTTTGCTTAGGTGGGGGTATTTCATTTAAGACCCTGAAGACCCCTTAATCTTGACTTTTAGGAAAATATTGTAATTTTCTCAGTGATTTATAGTACCAACTCATATCCACTGTAAAATGTTTTTTTTTTAGTTATCTGCATTGTTATCTTCAAACTTATTATTATGGATTTTTATCATTTTAAAAATCTTGTTAGCCAACTTGTGCATTCCAATATGGCGATTAATTTTACACGCTTATAGAGTTGAAAGAATCCATAAATCACTCTTATCTGACAGGTCAATAGGTTTGATAACAGACAATATTTTTAATAATGTTCCTCCATAAATTTAGATAACAGAAAAATAACATCATAATCAAAAGCTTCATTGCCTGCTCAACCCTTTTTGTGCTGATACCTTTCAGGATCACCATCCGAATGCTTTCACATATCCAGGTACTGTACGGATAATGTCAGTAAAACGCATGTCATTGATCAAATTAGCTTCAAGTAAAACAGAATTATGTTATTTCTGTTGATTGAAATGGTACCTATTTGGATTAATTCCAATGGAAGTTAACTTACCATTCAATGTGATAGAGTTGAATTTAATATAGTACATGCTTTTGTTAAATATTGTCTGAGAACGTTGACAGATAGTAAAAACATTGAGGTACTGCAAGTTTTAGACTTCTCATTGTACAACCTAGGCCTATCTGAATATAGGTATTAGTGTGTGCCTTATTTCCAACAAAGCTTGATTATTCAGTCTTGTATTTAAAAAAAATTGATAGTTAACTAAAACAAGGTCACAATTAATTTCCAGCCCTTAGGTCTATCATGGTATACTATTTAACTGTGGTTCAGCTCTTTCTATAAGATGGGTGTATAACTAATAGAGGTTGACATGGGGAATGACAGAAGATCCGTCATATGTCAATGGTGTGATGTCTCAGACTATGAACCACATTGTAAATGATTACCCTTTGATGGCTCTTCCTAACAGATTGTCTAGTTGACATAGTTTGAGCAAAGCATTACTTTAAGGGGGTGTAGGGATTTGGTTTTAGTTTTGTGGAGGGAGATATTGAATTGAATTGATTGATCCAAGTACATCGTACTAAAAGGACTTTCACAACTTCAATTGTCTATGGCAGTTGGCTGAAGAAGCCATACAATTTATTGGTGGCTGGAAGAAATGTGTTTTTTTAGAAATATCAGGTGTTGGATGGTGTAGCTTTAACCATAGACAAAAAGAATTAAATGTAGACCGTCAGCTGTGCTGCGGTTACCATAGGTTCTGGCGCACACCGCTGGGATCGCCACGGTAGTTACAGCGTACGCGCTACGTAAACTACAGCGGTGTGCGCCGGAACCTATGGTAACCATGGTAACCGCAGCACGGCTGACAGTCTATATTTCATTCTTTTTGTCTATGCTTTAACATAATAGACTGGATTTGCCTGTTGGCTATGGCATTGGATGTTAGGGAGTTGACAGTAATCAAGGCATCATGACAAATTTTGTCTCTACAACTGCGTACACAGTCTTCTAGAATATTTTAGAGGACTGTAAACCGTAAACTGTAGAAGACTAACAATATATATAAAGAATTTGCTGGCCCCAGTTTGATGGGTCATCGCAACTTGCAGCATTTGTTTCTATTGATTTTTTATTCATCAGTAGCACAGCGCTGTATGTCTGTGAAGAACGACTATCCTTCTTGAGATGTTATGCTCGTCTTTCCTATTGCATGATGAAAATAACACAATTCACTTCATTGTTGAATCTGTACAAGCGCTAAATAAGAAATTTGCCCCACTTTAATGCCATTTAGGTTTTCCTTTATAGTATCCTGCTGTCTCATACATGTCCTAAAGAGTGTCAGTTTCACCATGTGCTGAGTACAATGTTTAAGTTTTAGGGAAAAGGATCCATCAAGAAAACAGTCTTTCACTATATCTGCTACATACAAATACAAGTGTTGTGAAGCAAGAAACACACAGCACTACTGTCAATTTCAATGCTTATTATTGTAATATTAGCCATCCTAATGTTATTGTTTTGATACACTATACTAAAGCTATCCAGAAAGTAAAGAACGTCTTGTTCTGTTCTGACGCCGCTAGGCGCGCGCCAATCACGGACTTTGTTGTTTGAAATTGTCACACAACAAAGCGAAAGCTCCGTTATCGGGAATCGGCGGATTTCGCAAAACTTTTCATCAACATTAGCGACCATTTCCATCAGTCAAAATGCTCGGGCATCCACCCTTTGCTTCGTTATGACTCATGAGCGTCAGATCGGCCATTGTTAATCTGAATGCACAATTTTCTCAGAAATTTTAATCATTACGTTGTTTCGTTGTTTCCTTAAACTTCATACACTTTGCGATAAATGTCTATCGATTTTTACTGCCAACACAACCCGTATCACTGACCGCACCCCTTAACTGGCAGTATTTTTAATCGCAGCGCCCATCTTAAGTTGAAATTGTGAAAAAACGGGCAGCCCGAGAATGCTCCTGTTTTCACGGCTGGACGCCGACTGAGTTGCCGACTGCCGAGTGCGCAGGCACCAAAATGTACGAGATCGGCGCGCGCCTAGCGGCGTCAGAACGAAACATTCTTTACTTTCTGGATAGCCCTCGTATATATGTATCTCCACATAATACAACTGTGACTGTACCAGACAGATTTTTGTTTTTTTTTTTCACACACACAGAGTATTTCCAGACAGTTTACCAGACAGTATTTTTGAATTTTATTTGAATTGAGGGTTCAGTAGGTGTAGTTTACTAAGGTTACTCTATAGTTTCAAAATTAATTTTTAAGTAAGTTTGACTTATGATTTGTTTGTGTTTACAGCATCACCATTGCAGCTTCCACTCCCACCATTGCACCTTGCACCACTGAGCTTCAAGGCATGAGGAATCCACACAAGGCCTGGTACACACATCTCGACAAGACTGGTGAGCTACATATCTTTATCTTTACATCATTGCATTGAGACTGTGACACAAAGCTGTGTATTTTAACCTCAATATCAGTGTAAAATAAAGTGAGATTAAACAAGTACCGAAAAGGTACCGAGAAGAGTCCACTAGTCCTGTCAACTACCAAGACCTGACTGGCTAAGACAGGAGCCCTCAATCTTGGCCAGGAAGGGGCTTCAGGCATTTTGGTAATTGATCAGAATGTAGCACATGACCAATTAAGTAGGAAAGCAACTGGGCGTATTAACTCAAACATGAGTGAAAAATAAGTGGAGTGTACTTTGTAGCTTTGTTACTGACTAACACTTTCTTGTTTCATTAGTCAGGATCAATTATTGAAAGCCCAATGACCAAGGGCAGGTGGAAACAGTTTCTTTGTAATTATAAAAAATGTTAAAAACAAACATCACCAGTTCTTTCAATACGTACTGTTTAAGAGATTTTCAACATTTCAATACGTTGTTCAACTAAGTTTTTCAGGATACCTTTGGAGACCTTCTAAATTATCAGTCTATTGTGAAATATAGTATGTAGTGATAATAAAATGGTTTGGTTATTTGGGTTATACCAACCCAGCCCAGCTTTGAGCCTTAGGGATTGCGATTGATTTAATTAATTATTCCTATTTCTATGATGTTTTGCCACCATTTCATGAACATACACATCTAAGTTCTTATATAACAAGAATCATTCAGTGAGCACACTCAGGAAGGATATGAAGAAGTAACAAAATGTCTAATTTGGGATGCAAATATAATTACAAAGAATTTACCAACTCAGCACAAATTATTATAGTTGAGTTTCCTGATCCTATATTTAACTATTGAAACTTGCTATCGACCATGTGGTTTAGATCCTGAGTTGAACTATTTTTAGGATAATTATTATTTACAGTAAAACCTCACTAAATCCACAATTTGTAGTTTCGTTTAGGTTGTCGAAACGTGTACCTATTGTATTTTACCAATGTGATGAAAAATTTCCGCAATAAACCTTTAATCAACATTAACATCACCGACAATGTACTTCAAATAAAGGTTGTCAAGTTTGGGGGTTGTTGAGTTAACCAGAATATTGAAATTTTTAATGGCGGGTTTAAAAAAAATTAATTAATACATAACAGACAAATTTTTACCTACAAACTTATTACTTAGATGAGTATTTTTACTTATTAAATAAGCAATAAATGCTGAATATTTAACAATAAAAACTTGAAAAGTCGAACACAATTAAGACAAAGTCAGCTCGACGTGCTCCCAGTCAGCTGTCGAGTTACCAATTAAGTTAGTGAGGTTCTTCTATACCTCCATTTAGATAAAGCTAGCTAATTATATTAACTGAGTTCTTATATTTAATACTATTTATAGATTGAACACCCAAATATTAATAGGCAGGTCTTATTTTATAAAATTAATCATAACAATAAATATTTACATTTTTTTCACAATCTCTTTAGTAATGAACATCAACTATCATGTTCAAAACAAATCATTAAAATTAGCCAACAATAACAAACTAGGTGTATGAGAACAGATTGAGAAGATTATCAATAATTATGAAGTTCCCAACTCTGTGAAACTAAACCATTGCCAGCTGGCAGCTACCAAGACTCAGTCAGTCTGTCTGTCTGGGAAAGAAGCAAAGCATGTGCAAAATGTCAGCTGGTTTCGGTACTCTAGGTTAGTTGTTTAGTAGGTTTAGTGGTGCCCTATTGTAACTATGTGCTCAGATTTTAACCAATTCATGTATCCAGAGCTAAAACTATTCTGTACAGGTTTGTGTTTCATGTGTTTCTTTGTTTGGAGTGATTATTTTTAGAAATTACAGGAAGTATTTTTACCTTCACTTTCCCAGACTGTTTACCAGCATTCCGAGCTGTGTTGAATAGCGAGAATGATAACTCAATTATCTACTGTTTACAATTCTCAATGAATAAGTCTGAAAAATATATTTTAAACTTTTGAAAACAATGTACAGTACCTATTCATGTTTAATGAGGGCTTGATGTAAATAGATAACTTAGTCTACTTTATTGTATGATTAACATGAGTATCCTTAACATTTATTTTTTTCTTATAACTGTCCCTAAAAGTGTTTTTTGAAGTACACTCACGATAAAAATGCCACTGGCGTCAACAACCAGTAAAAAAGTGTTAAACTAAGCTTAAATTTGAATAAAAATAGCAATATTCAAGTAAACAGAAATACTAGAACAGCACCATTACCATAAAATATTGCTGTAAATTATCTTTAGTCAACGACAAGTTTAGTATGTTAAGTCTAGTTTATTTACATACAACTTCATTAGGTCCATGAACAATACATTTCAAAAAGTTTCTAATGTGTTTTGTGTTTTAAAACATTTAAACTCGATATTTTCAAAAGTATTTTAGTTTATAGAATGAAGATTTCCCAATTGATGATTTGATCATCTTGTTATATTGAAAAGCTTATATTTTTTTTTATAAAATAATAATATTTTTACCTATAACGAGTATCATATTGGCCATGAACTGATCACATTGAAATTAATTATTTCTACCTTAATATTATTAGGTACTAATTTATTAAGAAAACTATAAAATTGAACAAAATATAGTTGTCACTTTCAAATATCAATAATTTAGTTTGGATATTTATAAATATAAATTGTAAAAAAAGAAACTGCCACTTCTCTTTGTGACTGTATACTCAAACAGTCTATCTAGACAGGTTTTATCTGTTGACGAAGTCTTGTCATACAATGATGTCATCGTAACCTTCAGTAGGTAACTAAAGACTGAGACATGAATGTTTGTATAATCTGTTGTATACCTTCTCAATGCCTAGAACATGTATGAATGGTATGATATACATTTTTAGTTTAATTTATTTAAAAATACAGTTTTGTTATATATTTAGCCTATATACAAAGACATTTCTGATAGAGAATGGTCCGAGTAAGTTTGAACCCACCCCAAAAATTAATGTTTATTTTTATAGTGATTGAACCCAAACAAACACACAAACTTTCCCATTTATATTATAGTATGATCCTACTAATATTATAAATGAGAAAGTTTGGATGTATGGATGGATGTATGTATGTTTGTGACAAGTAAACGCGAAAAACGCTGGTCGGATTGGGCTGAAATTCGGTATGATGATAGCTCACATTCCCGATTAACATATAGACGCATTCTTATCTCAAAAGTCCTTTCGGGCTCCGCCCCAGTGGCTCTGGAGTTTCCCATGTTAACCGTACATTTAAAAGGAATAAAAGAATTTTGTCAGCTGTTTCAACTATCCAAGTTGGTTCTATGATATTGAATAGCATTAAAAAGTTACAAGGTTTACCAACAGGGTGCAGTAGGCTACTATTATTTTTTAACATTTATGACAACATCTATTATAGCCTATAAAGGCCAAAAAGGTTAAGTTTTGTTATTAAAAGGCTTATGTGTAACTATTTTATCAACCGATGTAAAGATCAAAATGTTTCTATTTCGTGTTCTCTTCCCGTTAAGTACGGGTACAACAGCTAGTATTAAATATTTCAGATACACTAGGCTGAATTCAAATAATTTAATATTGTTAGTTTTAAATTCTCTTTATAACTACCTAAATTAAAACTGGTTTTCTTTTCTGTTATATTGAGTTTAAAGTTGGAAATTATTTATACAGGTTTTATCTAAGTAATTGACTTAAATACTTTAATACTTTCTTATGAAATGGCAACCATACGGATGTAAGTATTTTATAATAGCCAAGTTATGAATGGAGATGAGTGGCGCAATCCTGTAGTCTTGTTAGAGACTAGGGCCAAAATTGTCTTTAGACACAGCTCTTAATCAATAGCCCATACAGCCAATGGCAACTAATGGACCTACAGTTTATAGTGGATTCCTAACCACATTTTTGCCTTGTAATTAACGAATAGCGAATAGGTCTTGTTGTCATTTTAATTTAGATTCTACAGCTACACTCTAGTTCAAGTCATCTGATGTTTTTCTCTTATTTAGTGTACATTTTACAATTTCAGCCTTACTCATTGGTGTAAGTAGCAGTGAAAAGCAATAGTTTACAAATGGACTGTTTCCTTTTAAAATTTAACAAATCAAACAAGAGTAAAAATTGCTTAACATCAAAACATACTATACATAATAGACTGAAACATGCCTTTTTAAAACTCTCTTCAGCTTATAAACGAGGAAGAGGAAATCTGTAAGGGAGTATATAGATGAGTTTACCCTATGTAAGTCGTTACTTATGAACATTGCATTATGGCAATTTAGGAGATAAGAGGTTTGCTCGGTGACACATTTATGTCATCTCATGTCTCGTGTAGGTAGTGCGTGTACTTTAGCTCCGGCAGTAGTTTAGTGTCTCATTGGTCCGCCAGAAGGAACTTCTGTGTTCACCAAGATGAACTACTCTTTTGGTAAAGTGTTTAAAAACAGTTACATTATAATTACTATTGACCACTGAAAATTAATCTATATATGGACCAGATGCAGCCAATTTTTTTATTCAAATAGAATCAAATTGAATGAATCTCGCCTGTGCTGCTTTCAACGTTTTCCCCCTTAGTTATTAAAAATGTTGTAGTTTAACGATATTTTTAAATTTAAAAAATCCATTGTAGGTATTGTATTGAAGAATTTAAAGTAATCATTTACTTTTTGTAGAAAAGTTTACTTAAACATTTTTCATTGATAAAATTTATCTCTCTCATTTGAATATGGTTAACAAATATTCAATTTAGTACTGTTCAATTATAGTTGATGAACATGTAAAACAACAAAACCAACACAACTAAAATGTCCAGGTTGTCGTGTAGTTTTAGTCGTTTAATAGTTATACAATAATTGTAAAAAAGTTGCCCACTCAGTTTAGCTTGGTTAAAAGTTTACACTTGAGATGGAATCAGTTGTCTGTGGAGATCATCTGTTGTCACTTAATTCAACTAAGTTTATTTTTTATTCTAAAACAGACTA